AACCTCTGGGTGGCAATGACCCACGGAAACAGTGACAATCCCAGCAAACGCATCCAAGTACCTCTTTCCACTCTCATCGTAAAGATATTGCATCTTCCCTTCCACAATATTGAGCTGCAAGACGCCCGCGATCAATCCATCCATCAACAAGACACAAATTCACACTCACAGGCTTCTTGTAGTAGAGAAACATTGCGGGATTCATGAACTTCCTCCGCTTCTCGAGGACTTCCTCGGCGCTGGGGCCGGCGTAGGGCCGCGGGACGTGATCGAAAGCCGGCATTTGAAGAGCTGGAAGATCCGGCGCGGCATCGGGCGACGACGAGTAGAGCCTCCGGAGGAGCGATCGCGAGCGCGCGCAATGCCGGCCGATCGAAAGCGCCATCGCAGCTCCAGCCAAAGCCCTAGGCCAGAGCAAAAACTTTGCTCATTAGTATATCGTGCGCTGACGTGGACGGAGAGAATATCCATTGGATCGCTACGTACGAGAGTTTGGCGAAAGAACATGGAAGACAAATGCTCGTACGGCCTGTCATCTTCATTTATTCACTTGTCTTTTGACACCGTAACCAGGTCTAATGCCGTACGCGGGCATTTACTTGGGTCTACTGCCGTACGCGGCGCATTGTTCTGATTCTAATGCCGTACGCGGCGCATTTGTTTAAGATCCAACACCAAACTTACGAATCCTCGGATCTAAATAGCAAGATCGCTACTCCAACTAACAAGAATCACACATCTCCTGTGACGCTTCAAACTAAATTCACGGAAGAGCAGTAAGAAAATCCCCTCTTGTTTGATCCTTCCAAGAAGCTTGGAAAACTTTGGCCCGCCCAAAAAAAGCGTGGTTGGCGATGCGAGTCTCTCGAGCCGCATTCCAAGTTTAGCTCTCGATTGGATCGAATCATGGGCGCCACCGAGAATTAAAAGAAAAACCTTAGCTACCTTACCAAACAGGGGGAGAGATCGATCATCGATCATTTAATATATCGGTTAAAACTGGACGTGTTCTTCTTCGTTGTGCTTCTTAATTATAGGCAGGTGAGAAGCGGGTTGGCTGCATGTAAAAATCCCAGCTTTTCTACCATGCACAGTGGTAAAAAAAGTGATCCAAATTGGGGACGAAGAACAGTGAGTTTAACTTCTCAAACTCTTTTGAACTTTAGAGAGCATCTAGAGTCGTGTTTTCCTCTGTTTTTTTTTTCTTTGTAGATTAGCTTTGCGTCTTAATTATCGAGTTTATTTGACTATAATAATCCGCCCGCCTGCCTTGTTCCTGCTGCTGCTGGCTACTGTGCTGTGCTCCCACTTTTCCCTCTCTCTTTTGTTCCATATGGTATAAATGTGGCCTCTTTGCTCACAGGTATCACGAGCTTGCTTTGCTTCTTTCTTTCACCATCTCCTCCATCTCTGAGAGGGAGGAGCTCTTTTTTTAAACTCTCGAGAGTTATATTTCCAGGTGCTATGGGCAGTAAGTCCCATGGTAGACGGGCTCATACCGTGATAGGCATTACGTAGAGCAACAATATCATACGACTTAGTGTAGAGCCGAGCCATAAGCATTGCCATATCGTTAGCCTCTGATCCAGAATTCACAAAGAAAACCACCTGGAAAGAAAGATAGAAGTTTACAGAAGAACATAGAACTTTTCACAGAACCTTGAGATTTCCAGGCATTTTTGCCGCGAGAGCTTCAGCATAATCGGCGACAGCATGGTGTAGATAGATTGTGGTTGTGTGCTGCAAGAGCTCGGTTTGCTTGATCACGGCCTGGACAACCTCTGGGTGGCAATGACCCACGGAAACAGTGACAATCCCAGCAAACGCATCCAAGTACCTCTTTCCACTCTCATCGTAAAGATATTGCATCTTCCCTTCCACAATATTGAGCTGCAAGACGCCCGCGATCGATCGATCCATCAAAAAGACACAAATTCACACTCACAGGCTTCTTGTAGTAGAGAAACATCGCGGGATTCATGAACTTCCTCCGCTGCTCGAGAACTTCCTCGGCGCTGGGGCCGGCGTAAGGCCGCGGGACGTGATCGAAAGCCGGCATTTGAAGAGCTGGAAGATCCGGCGCGGCATCGGCCGAGGACGAGTAGAGCCTCCGGAGGAGCGATCGCGAGCGCGCGCAATGCCGGCCGATCGAAAGCGCCATCGCAGCTCCAGCCAAAGCCCTAGGCCAGAGCAAAAACTTTGCTCATTAGTATATCGTGCGCTGACGTGGACGGAGAGAATATCCATTGGATCGCTACGTACGAGAGTTTGGCGAAAGAACATGGAAGACAAATGCTCGTACGGCCTGTCATCTTCATTTATTCACTTGTCTTTTGACACCGTAACCAGGTCTAATGCCGTACGCGAGCATTTACTTGGGTCTACTGCCGTACGCGGCGCATTGTTCTGATTCTAATGCCGTACGCGGCGCATTTGTTTAAGATCCAACACCAACTTACGAATCCTCGGATCTAAATAGCAAGATCGCTACTCCAACTAACAAGAATCACACATCTCCTGTGACGCTTCAAACTAAATTCACGGAAGAGCAGTAAGAAAATCCCCTCTTGTTTGATCCTTCCAAGAAGCTTGGAAAACTTTGGCCCGCCCAAAAAAAGCTTGGTTGGCGATGCGAGTCTCTCGAGCCGCATTCCAAGTTTAGCTCTCGATTGGATCGAATCATGGGCGCCACCGAGAATTAAAAGAAAAACCTTAGCTACCTTACCAAACAGGGGGAGAGATCGATCATCGATCATTTAATATATCGGTTAAAACTGGACGTGTTCTTCTTCGTTGTGCTTCTTAATTATAGGCAGGTGAGAAGCGGGTTGGCTGCATGTAAAAATCCCAGCTTTTCTACCATGCACAGTGGTAAAAAAAGTGATCCAAATTGGGGACGAAGAACAGTGAGTTTAACTTCTCAAACTCTTTTGAACTTTAGAGAGCATCTAGAGTCGTGTTTTCCTCTGTTTTTTTTTTCTTTGTAGATTAGCTTTGCGTCTTAATTATCGAGTTTATTTGACTATAATAATCCGCCCGCCTGCCTTGTTCCTGCTGCTGCTGGCTACTGTGCTGTGCTCCCACTTTTCCCTCTCTCTTTTGTTCCATATGGTATAAATGTGGCCTCTTTGCTCACAGGTATCACGAGCTTGCTTTGCTTCTTTCTTTCACCATCTCCTCCATCTCTGAGAGGGAGGAGCTCTTTTTTTAACTCTCGCGAGAGTTATAGCCCATCTCTCGACCGATCGATCCTTGTGTGTTCCTTCCACCTCCTTGCCCGTGCTCCAGAGTTTTTGTCAGGAATTTCCTTTTCTTTGGCCTTGGCTCGCTTTTCTAGTCGCGTTCTTCTCGAATTCCCGGGGAATGCTCGCGGCACCGTGAGCTCGGCGAGAGATTTGGAGGACTTGGGCAGCTTCATCGTGTCGCGGAGCTTCCTCTAGCCGGTAAGTCGGTGCCAAATGCCTCGGATTCTTGATTGGGTCGTCGTGCCTAGCATTGCTTCTTGCTCTTCTTCGTCTTTCTTTGATCGATCGATCTTTGTCTCGCAGGGGCGACGATGGCTCTAGCTGCGCTCGTCTGCATTCTCAGCCTGGTGGTCACTTCGGTGGAATCCAGAGCTAGCAGCAGCGACAAAGAGTACCTCAAGATCAGCATCGACGCTCTCTTCCTCGGAAGAAATCCCACTCCCGTAACTCCAGCTCGCGGCTCCTCCTCCTCCTCCACCCAAGGCCTGGAGGAAAAAGAAGAGTCTGTCAGCAGTGGTCTCCAAATCGGTCTCATGCACAGAGATTCGGCAGATTCACCGTACCGCCCAGCCAACGCCACCGTACACGGCCTCGTCCGCAATCGTCTCCACCGTGACGAGCTCCGCCTCCTGTCCATCTCCTCCCGGATCAGCCTCGGAGTCGCCGGGATCCCAAAGTCGAGCCTCACGAATCCCCTCAAGAACACCAACCCCTTCTTGCAGCAGGACTTCGAGACGCCGCTGCGATCCGGCCTCTCCGACGGCAGTGGCGAGTACTTCGTCTCTCTCGGAGTCGGAACACCTCCGCGAACCGTCAACATGGTTGCCGACACCGGAAGCGATGTTCTCTGGCTCCAATGCCTGCCTTGCCAGAGCTGCTACGGCCAGACGGACCCTCTGTTCAATCCTTCCTTCTCCTCGACTTTCCAGTCCATCACCTGCGGGAGCTCGCTGTGCCAGCAGCTCTTGATCCGCGGCTGCCGGAGGAACCAGTGCCTGTACCAGGTCTCTTACGGCGATGGCTCCTTCACTGTCGGTGAGTTCTCCACCGAGACTCTTTCCTTCGGTTCCAACGCTGTCAACTCGGTTGCCATCGGCTGCGGGCACAACAATCAAGGCCTCTTCACTGGCGCTGCTGGACTTCTCGGACTCGGCAAGGGACTT